CCCACACACACACACGCACACATACACACAACCACACACACACATGTGCGCGCACAATCATACACGAGAAGAAACTTTCCAATAAGAACTATCAACTCCTCCTATACCTCTTCTAGCACCCCTTCCGTTACTTTGATGACCTTCACGTAATCAACAACCCGCGCATCAGAGAATTCATCAACCCAGACATCACCAGCCCCCGCAGCCAATACTATATATCTACCCGCTACACTGCACTTGGTAACACTAAATGAACAAACCATAGAACACTTATCAAGCAATGAAATACAAACCGGTAGAAAAACAAATTTCCTCAACACAACAACAGTAATAACTGACACCCAGTTAGGCACATACATAACAACAAAATATGACAAACGCCGGGAACTCAGATTCCCGATTAACCGTTTTATACACGCAGATTCAAACCGACATCTACACCAGTCCTTGAACATCATTATCCCCCAAATCATTACCACAATGACTATAGAATCGGACCCTAGGTCTGCTGCGGCTGAGATCAAAGACACTCTTCACACAATGACACTTAACAGCTTCCACCCACACAGGATGATCGATATTACACGCAAAATCCTCCGCAACCCCCAAGAATACCAACCATTTAGGTGTATTCCGAAGGACGTCCTACACAATCTCTTCGACCCAACGGACCAACCAAACACATGATCAGCCCTACGACAATCCATATGTCTGTGTGTGTAGGCCACTAATATGGCCTGGTACGGATGGAGGACCATATACTCGAACCTACCCCTTCGGGTCCTCCATCACCAGGGGACGGGGAGGGGCAAACACACACACACACACACACACACACACACACACACATACACATACACTCACACTCATTCCCATTCTCTTACTCTGTCTCTTAATTATAGGAAGATGATTATTAAAAAGTAATAAAAACAATAAAAAATAAAAAAATTATAAAAATTATAAAAATATTAAAAAAAAAAATAATAATAATAAATTAAATAAATAAAGAAATTGATAGATAAATAATAAACACCAAATAAATAAACAAAATAATAAGCTAAATAAAAACTCCAAGTCCTTAAACATTGCACATATACATACCCATAGCCACACCGTACGCATATGGCAACACAACGGACCGACCAAACACATGATCATCCCTACGACCACCCCTGTATCTGTGTGTGCAGGTCATTAACATGGCCTGGTACGGATGGAGGATCATACCTAATAGGGGTAGGTCCGAAATCCGTACTCGAACCTACCCCTTCGGGTCCTCCATCACGAGGGAACGGGGAGGGACACACACGCACTCATTCGCATTCTCTCTTACTCTATCACTTTATTCTAGGAGGACGATAAATTAAAAATAAGTTAATAAATATATATACTAAAATAATTATATAAAAATATATATTAAATAAATAAATAAATAAATAACAAACACAAAATAAATAAACAAAATAATATATAAATTAAAGCTCCAAGTCCTTAAACATTGCACATACACACATACCCACAAGCCACATACGTACGCACATGGCAACACACTACTCCCGTGCGGGCAAACAAGCTTCTCACCGTCACCCACCATCTTAACTGTAGGAGGAACACCACTATCAATAAATAAAATCGCAACCAACCACCTACAAATAGTTATGGGTCCACCATCTCCTAAAATCGCAAGTATTAGTTCAGCTTAAGCAAGATCCTAGCACGGTCCAATCCAACTCAAGGGCCTAAACAAGCAAACAAAAAAAAGGAGGCACACCACAAAAACAGATAGCACCAATAAGACAAAATTAAGAAATGGTCCATCCAGACTGAACTGACCCGATCTGCCCTGATGCTCAGCCGCTTCGAAAAAGGTGCTACACTTGACACGCCCACACAGACAAAGCGACACCACCTGCAAACTCAGTTCATGCTGCATCATACCACTGGCCCAGCTACACAACGACTTGCTCACAGATGCCAACTCCTCACCTCTCTGCCATAGCCGATGCCGACAACGATACAACATACCAATTACAGCAATCCACGACTACCACACAAAAAACCGGCGTCCCCTCTATCGCGCTCACCCCCCTACCCACAGATCAGTTCCCCAGATCACCCCAAGTTACCCCTCTGGCCGAAACTACACATGTAAACCCCAACACACGACACCCAGCTCTCAACACCAACCTCCTCCAACACAATATCCGAACTCATTAAAACAACCCTATTAAAACAAACTTGCAAATATGAACAACTTCCTCCACCCACGTACTCCCAGCCCCACCCTCCCAACTCCTCACCAATACCATGAAAAAATATTATTTCCTCCCATAGCATCACAACCTCCCGATTCTCCACCCAACCACTACATTATAGCCCCCCACAGCCCATGCACGACTACAACCCTCCATCAAAACGCCACCTCCCTCCGACCTTCCCTGCTTCTGTCATGCCTCATACCCACCTTCTCGCCACCTCTGTTACTCCCAATTCTAATCCA